AGAACCCCAAAAACGATATTAATCTCCATTGCAAGTTGCAACCCCTCGAGAACCAAATAGTAGGTGAAATAATTAACATCTGGTCCAAAGGAGGTTATCTTAGGGAAAGAATGCAGAATGAGTCCTGGTAGAGATCACGTCTATAGCTGCAATCCGACACTTGAAAGAACCCACCTAAGCTCTCAATGAGTAAAACTAAAAGACACTCTTGAAGTGAAATACTCGTCACTCAAATTAAAATCTTCGAAATCTTATCTTATTTGTCATGTGCGTGATGCTCAAGTGATTGTACTCTTTGTTTGTTGTTTGTCTGTTTGTTGTTTATACGTATGTTTGTTTATTAGTGAGATCATGCAAGCCAGACTCTTTACAACTCATTCTTTCTCCTAAGGAAACACATTGCACATTTGACCTCATACAAGTAGTCTGCACGCAGAGTCTAGTTGCAAAATCTTGAAGTCGAACGAATACAAAGGGTATCACATAGAAGCCCATTTTCACAGGATGTCGATATTTTACGAATGTAATGTCAATAGCCGGGGGAGGGGGTTCGATGTGTGACCACCCCCCCCCCATAACCAAAAACTATAAGGTAAAATAAGAGCTTTAAAATGCTTTTAATTTGCATCAATTTTGTAAAAGTTTTACAAATCTATTTTTGCCCATGCCACGATCGCACCCCCCCCCCGACTGAAAAAACGTTTTTGGTGATCCCAAAACGTCCTGCTCTGCGTTTATTTTGGCTCATATAAGAAGCAATTCCCTTATTTTGACATATATTATTCGTGAAATTCAGAGTGAACGGATGATAACAATAGTATGGCCTTAGGCTGATATCAGTCATGAGCATTGTGAATGTAGGCTACAGAGCAAGTAAGACAAAAGGCAGAGAGGTTAATACAAGGTCTTTAACAACATCCTGAAACTCTTGAAAACAAAAGTGTTTCTCTGAATGGCATGTGGTGTTGTCTTTTCATTTACATCAACTTCTTCCATCAATTGCGTTCCTGGTTTGTGTATGAAACAGGAGAGTATTAAAGATGAAGACATATTAACAAAACAAACGTGCAGCAATACTGGGATCGTTTGTTTGTTTGTTTGAATACAGCATACAATGGCAACATTTGGAAACAAAACACAAACTATAGGGTGGTCCAAAAAATGGGACACTCGTATTGAAAAAATAAATATTGATTTTATTGTTGTCGGAAAACATATCATATTATATATCAGTGGATAGGGATTTTAATCATCTTTAATTTGGTATATCATATGTTCAACTTATTATAATGCCTGTCAACCAGCGTCCATAATATGTCTACCGTTTTGATCAATTATAGCCCTCAGTCTTGGCATCAATGCATCATTGATATGCTTTAGAAATAATGAATTCCACTTCTCAACATTGCTGTCCTTGAGGAATCGAATAGATGTAAGGGTTTAATGGTTCACCAACTTTATTAGTTCTCCCAATACATGGTAGTCACAGACATTAGCATTGGATGATCTGGAGAGGGGGGGGACAGTGATTAGGGGTTGAATCAATGGAGTCAAACACAGAGGACTTATTCCTGGTCTCATATTGGGATCATTACATTTTCCAACAAGACGGGGCTTCAAACCACAGATCCCACAAGGCAGTCAACTATTTAAAGGAGAGTGTGCCTAGATTCACATCACTAATCACTGCCCCCCCCCCCTGGATCATCCGATGCCATTGTCTGCGACTACCACTTATGGGGAGAACTAACAAAATTGGTATATCATGAACTCCTTACATCTAATTGTACATTCATTATATCAATGATGCTATTGAGAAGTTAAGGCCAAAATTGAAGGCTATGATTGATCAAAATTATTACAAATCTTAGAGAAATACAATATGCGGTTTCGTAACCTTTTAGTAACTTTTTGAAACTTAGTAAATTAGTAAAGTAGTAATTTTACTAATTTTAGAGAAATAGACCCCTGGTTTTAAAAATATTGTATTTTGGATAATGCCGTCAACGTTCAGTGTTCAATCTTATTTTCAACCACGGGGAAACTACTATGATCTGCAGATCATATCCAATCGGACATAAGTAATAATTGTATCTTTCTCAATTTGATATTTAGCATATTTTGCCATGCTGACTAAATGTCATGATATAGTGGGTGGATGATGCCATACTTCTGAAGAATATCTTCCCCATCTTATGAAATAACAAATGCACCGATCTGTGAAAAATCATATTAGACATTAGGGAGTTTAAGCTTGCAATGTTTTTCAGAACTTAAACGTGAACGGAAAATATTTAAGGAATGCATTTGTATGGGCGATTGCTCATACGTATAGGTTGGCGTTTCAATTTTATATGCAAGCTTAAAACTCCCTATTATTAGATATTAGTATTGCACGTTAGATTATAGTTTGGGATATTTGGGGTTTGTTTTCCTTATGATTGGTTGAACTTTCTTGCTCTGTTTGTCACATTTTTCCCTTTAGCTCTTGTGCAGTCATACTTTGTATTTCACATGCTAAGCACCATGGTGATTTCTGGTGTAGTGCAATTTCACTCGGACAGATACAAATGATCAGAATGTCGTAATTATATTAATTCAATTTCTGTAGTAAGAGCCTTGGGTCTCCTTGGTTAAATATGCCACAAGGTTGTGATACAAAATGCAAAATAAATTGGATTACAGATGGCTCAGCATAGAAAAAAATAAACAGGCATATAGAAAACAAGCTTACTTACATAGAAATGCTATAGTATTGGGCAGTTCATTTTAGGCAAGGACATAATATCATTAATTAGAATGACCTTGGGGGGGGGGGGGGTTTTAAACTGACGGGAGATGTACCAATCCTATCAACTCTATAAAGTCTATTCGACACCACCTGATGCACAAACTAACATAATCAATAAGAGTCTGCAATAAATGTCAAACTGGAAATTCTTTATCTGTTTATGAAATTACTTCAATGTATAAATAGAATATCTGGAGATATATGGCATTATATGTCTTTAATGGTGTGGGTTATCTGTCATTAATGTACAGTATTAGATTGATATATGGAACTCCAGACCCTAATTTGCTAGATTGGAAAAATTGAAGAAATTTCGAGGCGAAAAAGTAACAAACACAGGATTGGTAAATATAATAAAAATTGTTCAGGAGTGCAGATTTCAATAAGCCAGATGCCAGTAGGTAGTTACCAGTTTCACCACCAGGTGGCTAATTCGGATCAGATAACAAAGCACATATATTAGAAAGATCCCTTAAACTTGAATATTCATCAGTTCTAGTGGACCAATTTTCATATTACCCTTACTAATGCGATAGTTATACAAATGAAAATATGCCCAGTAAAACAAAATATTATATGTCAAATAAAATATATGTCACTATTTGTGATTTTATAGCATGGGGTCTTTGGGGAATCTCCCAGACCTAGACGTCACATTTTCAGGGAATTAAATTTTCAAAGTTGATAAACAATTAATTTTTTGAAACCACATTTCTAGATGTAATTTTACATGTAGATTTTAAAATATGATATTATACAATGATTGATGCAGTTCGCTTAAAAGAGTTAAGGCCTTTATGATCATCATGTAACTGAAATTCCTTTCCATTCTTTATCAGAGCATCTCACGTTAGCAACACAGAAAAATATAATAGATTCTCAAGATCTGGCATTTGACTGAGAGCAGAATATGAGGGTCAAATGAAAATGATTGAGATCTGGAAAATCTCCTCTTGATTGAAAGCAATGCCCTGGAAGTAGAGTTGCATACTGCTAGTACCATTATCATTATTGGATTGCTCATGTTTAATAATCTGATAATAGGGGCTGATATTTATCATTGGAATATCAATTACTGATCACATGCTGTAAAATGTAGGCACTTTCCAAGAATCGAATCTTATTCCCTTGTAGCAAAATACTCAGCTCACAGCTGATTTTGAAAAGGGGGCTCTTTTGAAAAATGATGGGCTTGTTTCACCACTCCCCTCAACAAATTGTGGGAAATTGTAGGGGGGGGGGCATCATGGGAAATTATTGCTTTCTATTAGTTCCTTGCTTTTGCTAGTTAAAACAGAAAGATGTGACTGTCTGATATTCTGTTTATATCACCATTGAGAAACAATCAAAATGGTAAATTATACTAGGTGTGTTTGAGGAATCAATAGTAATTATCGCATTCCCCCAACACAATCCAACATTTTTCAATAATAAAACTCAACACTAAAACAAATGAAATTATTATTTTTACATAAATATATTATAATGATTCTGCTGAATTTCAATGCATATTGTATGATATGTCAGACATTTGTAAATTAATTTCCTAACTATTTATATCAGGTTTCACTAAGTGACATTAATCTAGGCTTGATGACATTAATCTCGGCCTGTCCCAGACGCATCATGTCATTTCTCTCATGTTTCATAGTAATGCCACGCGGCACAACTGAGAATGCAATATAATGTGAGACATGAAAATGCAAGAATTGTTAGGTGGAAAATATGAAAATGAGTAATATTTGTGTGTCTGTATGAGTTGGATTGCACTACCTTTTAATCACAAAGTTCACACTTGCAGAGTCAATACAAGTTCAATAATAACAGGATTTTCTGAATGTAGCAAAATACTCTGTAAAAATAAATATATATGATTTGAACAATTAATACAATTACAGTTATATTAACACTGGTATTATGAACACTGGTGGATTGATGCCACTTTCACACTCTCATATGATATGAACTCAACTCTCATATATGGATACCTCGATCATATGATGAACACCACTATCAAATGATGAACACCACTATCAAATGATGAACACCGCTCTAACATGATGAAAACACATTTTGAATGATGGACATCAAACAATTTTTGCCAGAAATAAACTACTTTTTAAATATTTTACAAAAGCATGTAAAATGCTCAATATGTTATTTGGTAGTCATTGGCAGAAATTGAAAGTGGAAATATTTGGTTGCATATATTAATTTGATTTTACAATCACGCTTATTTAATACCAAGGTGACACTGAATAATAAGATGCCCTGTGGGGAATAATAAATTGATTCTTCACTTTTGGTTTTAGGCATTTCAGTTGTGTAAGTAAGCTTGTTAAAGGAAATATGTTTGGCTAACATTCCATCTAACACATGTTGCCATTGGCCTATGTATGCTGTATAACACTCTTCCTGTTCATTTGGATTATTGCATATGAAAACAATATTAATGTTGCAAAACTGCTGTTTCCTTCAAAATAATAAGAATCTCTACAATATTACGGGGCCAGAAAAATATAATCATCCGTTTATCAGAGACCGTAACTGAATAAATATAATATGACAAATCTCCCAATAAACGATTGATTTCATTTTCTGGTCTTTTTACAGCTTAGGTCTATGACTCCAAGGAACATAAAATACTATTGAAAACTGTGTCCATTTCACCAAATACTTTATTCTCTGTGACTGTGTCTGTCCTTTTGATTGCTTGTTGGTCTAGCGTATTTTCATCATTGATGTCTGTGTGTATGATGTTGATGGAGAATGTTTCTGTGCTATGGTTACCACTTATATCTTGGCAGCTATAAGGACAGTATTCAACGTCAGATCGATCTGGATTAATGTCATTACACTGTACAGAATCAACTAATCTCTCACTGACATCTCGAACATCAGTCATTTTTTCCACAGACTTTTCAGTTTCATTCGGTTTCTCTTGGTACATACAACTTGGCTGGGATAGATATTCTGGGACTGGGGATGTGTTTTCTTCGTATTGGAATCGTTTCCTTGGGGATACATTGTTTTGTTTCTCTTCACGGATTTCACGTTGCATGCGCTTCATTGTGTTATTAATCAGAACTGCCTTATGCAGCACGGTCTCAGGGTCATCAATATTTCGTAATTTATGCACGGACATCTTTAAGATTTTACGTTTCTCCTCTCGTCGTTGCTTGGGAGTGTTATTCAGTATAGATGGCCTCTTTGGTTTGGGCCAATCCCCAATATCTTGATATTCCAACTTGCGCTTAATGCCCGTCTGGCATTTTGAAATCGTCATTGGTTTTGTTGGGGTTAAGTCAGAGTCCTTTGATGCAATCAGATTTTCTGAACCTGCAAGCACACAAAAGAAAAACATTATTGATCATATTAGAAAAGTTGAACAACTGTTTTTTCCTTGAGGTTGTTTCTAGTTGATTATTGTACAACACTGAAAAGCTATTAAGGTTCTATGTGAACATCATGTTATGTCAACCTTCATTGATTTCATCTAACTGTTAATATGCCTGGGCATATGTCACCACTAAGTGATCAAAATTATTAACGGTTTTCTCTTTTACATTTTCCATTATACCCACCCCTCACATTAAAGAAAACTTTTGATTTAAGAAAACACTGATGTGTTGCATCTCCCTATGAACAAATATCATTGATTTGGGAAAATCCTAAAATAGGGCATGCTTATGGTTAAGTATAACTGCAACCATATGTTGGGAATAAATTGATATGCTTTATGTATGACCTTATCTATGCAGTGTATATGTATGCATTCCTATGTGAGACCTGCACTCATACATAGCTTTATGTCTAAGTTGAGTTTGATTAATCGAACCAATCCATACAAAAATGATCATTTTAGATCTTTAAAGGTTGTTTGATTTGATTGTTGTACAACAAAATCAGTTTTTTAAATTGTGTTTTGTAATATTGAACTTGGATCAGCAAGCATTCCTAAATTTATTGAAAGTTTGGTTGTATAATATCAAATGCAAAATTGTTTTCTAACAAAATATATATTCCCATGATAGGCCCTGGATGATTTAATTATTTAAATAATCATAAACATATAATATATGTGTTGACTTTATAGACATTGACATCTCTCCAACTTGTTGACAAAATAGTCTAACAAATTACGATGAGATGTCCACATAAATTATTGATAAAAGATTGGTGGATCAGACTATGTAAGTACAAGTCTTTGAATATTATTACCCACATGCATCTATTAACTTCTACACTAAAACGTGCATAATGGCATCCATCAATGTGGGTAAGTTTGAATGATGTATACAACAAAGTCACAAATGTCACAATATACGTGGATGGTGAAAATAAGGTTGAAATGAATTTAAACTTGGCAGGACGACTAAACAGTTTCTCATGCTATTTATCCTGTTTCAAGGGAATGTGTTCTATAAATGATATTTTAGGAATTGACAATACAGATCTAGGCATTGAAGATACAGATCTGTGATATTATCTCATAGATTATTGGAATGGGATTAAGTTCCATCTTATCTTTGTACGTTTATATTTATGTTATCCAATACTATGTTCAACAATGTGGGCTTCAATATAAAATCAAGTGTGTCTTGGTGGGAGGGGGATTTTATAATAAATTTGCCATTATTCTATACAGTAAAACCAGGATAGCCTTTATAGATCCCCGTTTATTCAACTCCAGAGATAAACCATTGGAAGGTCAAAATGTGTTTTAACTGTTTTTGGAAAAGCATTCAAATATGTCAAAATTGTGTAATAAAAAGCCACTACATAAAAACCTGAATTGTTGAATTGAATGTGCAATCATAGACTCTTGAAGTTCACGTACTTACTTACTTTCCCCAAGGACAACCGTGATTATGACGTCAAAATTTATCAATGCTATGTGAAACTCTAAAAGATAAGTAATGATTTAGATAGGTTATTTAATTATACACAGGTAGCCATTTAGCGTGTACTTTACTTTAAATGTCCATCTGTTCATATGCTTATTCTGTTCTATTCTCGTATAAAATTTGATGAAAGTGTTGAATTGTTTTGCAATTTCTATACAATTTAGCATGTTAACTATGCGTCTATTGCTTCTTTTCTTACTAATTAAACTCCATTTCACTACATTTTGCATTTTCAAAAGTGACCACCATTCAATTTTACTTTTGGGTATCTTTATATTTTATGATTGCACCTAGTGTACATAATATGCAAGTGCCCATGGCTAATTGATATTTGACTCATTTCAAATCACTCATTTAATTGTCCTAGTTCATTAGAAAAATACATTCAGGTAATACAGGTAAAATCGGATTGTTTTCTTTGAGGTGTTAAACTAGACTGTAAAACAGGAGTCGCCTAATAAAAGTTTATAGACATAGCATATTAATTGTAATTAATCAAATAATAAATTGGATCAATAGATATCCTGTCTGGGGGTTTATGATGTGATTTACCTGAATATTTATGTTGATAACATACCTGTTAATTTAACCTTTATCTCATTAGAGAGCAGACGGACAACATTCAGGTTCACCCAGACTGAAATATTTCTCTCTAATATTTGAATGAAAACTTTGATTTTCTTGGATTTCTATACAATTAGGGATGTGAGCTACATGCCTGTATACTCTATTTCTTGTTAATTCCACTCTTGTTCTCTCTAATTTATATTACAAAATATGACAATTATTCAATCTACGAGTGATACAATCTCCAACTCCAATAGGGCCACTAGGTGTAAGTGACCATATGTCAGTCTATCATCTTTTCCCTCATCATTTTAAGGTGCATATTTTTCAGTTTAAACTGTTAAAGTGATGTGATCAAAAATATATACTTCTCTAATATTTATTGTAATGATTCAAAGTAATATTTTTTATATTCTCATTATTTTCTCACTTGTTGTTCCAAAGTTCACTGAAAGGTTAATTTTACTTGCAAGGGAAATGTAATTGATTGATAATAACATTTGTTTTCAGCATATCTTTTATGAGATCAATAGTTCCAGCGAAAGTTCAATAATGATTCTGTAATAATCTGTCTCGGATGATATTCCAAAGTAGAACATGCATACATCATCAGATTAGCGATTGCAGTAATGGAGAAATTAGTGTTATAAAACTTAGTATTATCTCATACTCCTCCCACTCATCCCATGTGGAAGATGGAAGGATTGTTATAAATGAAATGCTGAAAATAGACAGACCTGACTATCTAGTATATATATATCTATATTATATAGTATATAGACATCATCTATAAGGCAAATCTTGGTATTTTATGTCTACATAGCAACAAAAAACAAGCGTGTTCCGAATGTCAATCATGTTTGAGGATTGCCTAATATTAGGGCAGACCTTGTAGGCTATGTGTATAAAACATGATAAGGAGTTAGAGTGAGTGTCTAGAACACTAACAGTTGGCAATACCTCTAAATTGATAACAGTGAAGCTTTCAAGTGCAATCAACAATGAGAAAACTGCCTGACTGACTGCAAGGCTAATAGACTACACAGTCTATTAACACTTTGTAATAACCAACAGTTAAAGCTATAACATACATATGAATGAATAATCTAAAAGTCTATAATTAGTGTTTGTCTTCTCCAATATTGGCATTCAGTATCTCATATTAGTTACACATAGTTTTCCCTTGCCATATACATTCACCTACCAACTCTTTATTAGTTTGAAACCAAAACCAGACACTAATAAAAATATGTGGTAGAATACATGCTGCTTATCAGCTTATTTATATGAAATTATTTATTGAAAATGAAATGTATGATTTTCAATGTTTTAGTGTTGGTGCTATAACTGTTCACACTGCACTCACATCTGTCTGTTTACTCTGCCTAAGTTTACCTTTCTCTATTCTATATATATTGGACATTTACCAAGATAACAAGTAGACACATGTTATGAATATGGTACCTAAGCTAAATATTATCATGATCCGGCAATTCCTTCAAACGTTTAAATAATATCAGATCTTTTCAATTTCTACAATCATAAAAGTATCTATTACCTTCATGCTTGTTTACAAATGCCTCTTATTCAGCTTTTATATGCATCTCAAATGGTGACCACCTTTCCAAATTATGAGCAGACACATACCTGTACCATGCATCAAGGTGATCTCTTAGTAAGGGCATATGGAAATGGGCAAATATCAAACATCACCTAGTTAGCAGTGCCCTTTCTAAACCCTTTTATATTTGTTAATAGTGCAGTTTTGTTTTATATCAAAAGTATTTATTAGTTAACATGACATGAATGAATATGAGTAATACAATAAAATTATACATTTTTGATATGTGAGGAAATGATGTAAAAATAAACAATAATGGGGCACTACCTATTGTGGGATCCACAGTGTCTACTATCCCTTGGCAATAGAGCTTATTTAGATAAAGCGAGACTCTGGATAAATCAGAATGGACACTACCAGAAGTATGAAGTGTTTGCCTATTTGATTAAAAAAACTATTTCAACTTGCAGTTGATGTGACTCACTCGATAACTTAAAGTCTAAACTGATTCCAAATGATAACAAAATAACACAAAGTATTTACCTGATTTGATTTCAATGTTTTCACTGATTGGTTCAAGGGGGGTGAGAGGTCTAGCAGTGATGCGTCCAGCTTCCCAAGTGTACTCGCCACTTGATGTATCCTCCACAGCAAGACTGGTGGGGTAGTCGCAGTGGTAATGGTACTGGGTCATCGGCAGTACAAGCGTCATGATTCCTTTCTGGTATAGTCAATACTGAAACTGTATCTTTAGCGTTTGATAGGCTAATGTCTCAGTTGAGGTACTGCCAGAAACTTAAGGCAGACTACCACACTGTTCTCTATGACTCAGCCAATCTATAATCTATGCGATGATCTGATGTCTAAAAATACAAAAAGAAGCTTATGTTGACTTTTTATGCATCATACAGTATCAGTATTACAATTACAACTCTATGTTTTTGTATCGGTATCGAGATGGTATGTTTATGTATTGAAATTGATTTAAATCCCATTGTTGAGTTTCTATGAATTAAGACCAATGTACTTCCTCACTGTTGACATAACATATCAAAACATGTAATGACAAAACTCCAAGTTTCATATTTCCTGTTTTTGTTGAACTTAATTAATAATACAAATTATTTAAGTATTGTAATTATAGGTATACATAATAATCTCCAATTAACATGTTCACATATTGTTTAAATAACAGGTCTGTACCATGAGTTATTATGTTTATATATAAACACCTGAACTTGAAAGTTAGGCACATTTAAGGTGACATTTAAGTTAATCAAAAGGACAAAAACATGGGAGCCATATTTTTTTGATAAAGTCAGAAGATTTTGTACACTGTTTTCCTTGTATGTGAATGCATTTCCTGACTAAAGAGACACATAAAAGAAAACCTCACATTTAAACGCATTTTTCATAACTATGAATTGGAGGTGTATGGCTCCCAAAAGCTAGCATGAAGAGTGCGAAGTGAGGCTATTTTTTGAAAGTTTCAAGGAGTAGCCTTGCAACAGACACACATTTGCAAGAATTCAAAATTTCTAGATATAGTCTTACCTTACCAAGGAACAACGAAGGAGCACGAAAATGTGTACTTCTTGCATTGTTAGAGTATAATAAAGCTCAAACCATTGTGAATTCTAAATATTTCATGTCCACCATTTTGTTTCCTGGAACTATTTTTTAGTCCAGAGTTATCTTCATTCATGTTTCCATTGTTTATCATTCATAAAGCCTCTATCATGTATCTATCATGATAATTACACTGTAATAGATAAAACATACAAGTGATAATCCATGCCACTTGGTGTAGTCACAAAACTTGCATGAGGATTAATCAGGAAGTCTAGAAGTAGTTCCGGCAAACAAAATGTGGACATGAAATATTTGGAATTTACAATGGTTTGAGCTTTATTATACTCTAACAATGCAAGAAGTGCACATTTTCATGCTCCTTCGTTGTTCCTGGGAAAGGTAAGATGATTTGTGGAAATTTTAGACTCTTGCAAATGTGTGACTGTTGCAAGGCTACTCCTTGAAACTTTCAAAAATTAGCCTCACTTCGCACTCTTCATGCTAGCTTTGGGGATCCATGCACCTCCAATTCATAGTTTGGAAAAATGCGTTTATGTGTGATGTTAACTTTGACATGTTTCATTAGTCAAGATACACAATTCATATACAAGGTAAACAGATTTTAAAAACATGTGTCTTTATCAAAAAAATATGGCAGTCATTTTTTGTACTTTTTATTTAATATAGCGTCGCCTTAACATAACTTACATCACATACTATATTAAGTAATTGAGATAAACAGTCTTATCAGATAGCAAAGCCCTTGCAACAATCAAAATGTTAATATAATCATTTCCAAAACCATTCGTACCATCTGTCTCTAAATATTTCTATGTGGTTTCTAAGTATCTTGATTTCGCAGCTATTCAATTTCACTTAGCATAAATGTAAACTTTGACCCTTGAAAGTAAACTATGTTTAACCTTCATAGTTTCTTTGTTGCTATTTTTCTCATGTCATCAAACATTCAGAACTGGTTTATTTTATACTCCACAACATTACTATCCTCAAATGAAGCTTTCCAATGTTCCAATCAATTGTTGCATATTTATTCTTAGTAAACTGTTTGTGTTTTAGTACATATCCTTCTTAAGTGCTAAGTTTGCATTTATGAATAAGTAATAAGTCACCGTGACCTCATATGTTATCTTCGACATTTAGCAGAAGCAAATTGTGCATTCATGTTTACGAATTAAATAAAAGTCTAAAATGTGTGCGAATGAGTTTCTATAAGATGTGTCAAATTTCCTATAAGTGTAATGTATTATCAATGGTTCTTCACCTCTTGCAGCACAAAGGGTCTGCGCCCAATATATTCGATGGCATCACAGACAAATGCAAAATGTAAACAAATAAAACAAACAACTTACCAATAACTATCAATAGGATCACCGTAGCAGCAATTATCGGATTAACAACTAATTAAAACAATAGATGATTATTTTCTACGAGCGAGAACTGTAGTACGGTGTTGACTATCCGAGCTCAGAGTTTACACTGACAGCTGGACGACTTCCAATCCCATATATGCTAATGAGCTCTATATCACCTAGGGACCGATCAATCTCTTACAAATTCTGGAGTTCTCAAGTTTATTAGTCAAAAAACAAGAAAAAACTTCAATTTCTCTTAAAACTGATCCAAAAATAATTAATATACTAAAATCCATGTCGAAAAACAAATAACTATTTAATAAATATGATTTAAATTCTTTGGTTATCTGAAGAAAATGATCGGTCGATAAAGGACCGTTCGCGTGCCATATTTGACAAACAAAGGCCAGCAGCTGCTCCATTCATACGACTAATGCACCGCAGTACAATACACTTTTAACACTTTAATTCCGAAATTAAATAAATCCAATACCAGTCAAGCACTGTTGCTGATTCGATTTATGATTATGAATAGACAATTGTATTAATAAGTAACATTTCGAGTAAATTTTAATTTCTTGTTTCTGCTTTCAATTATCATCCCGGCAAAACACTTGTCACGTCGCAGTAATAAAACATCTAAATTCGGTTGAATCCGGGTTATATTCTGGCAGAAAGTTCAAAGCTAATCGTTTTCTTCGGATTACAATGTTTTTTTAACTTTTCAGCATGAATATAGGGTTGGGACCTCAAAACCACGGAATGCCGGAGCGGCACCCTTGGGCAACTCTCTACAAACCATTTCTTATACCCCCCTAAGAAAATCTACTGGGGGTACTATAAGACACCTTTATATATCAGACAATTATAAAGATATAGACTTGAAATTTTCAGGAATTAGTTTCAGTATGATGCTTAATCTTTATGGTGAAAATCAAGAAAAAATCTTAATCCGTTGCTATAGCAACAGTAATAGATCACTATTAGTTACCTTAGAAATGTATTATTTTGTGGGTTTTCAGCATTTTCTTCATATTCTTGATTCTTAAACATCTTAAACTATCTGAAGCACATAGCATGATTAGAGGTGAAGATAAAATAATTCATAATATCATTTGTGTAATATGTCTAACAATTCACTTGCTATGGCAGCATCACTTGATAATCAGGTTCTTACATTTCACTTTCTTTAATGAGTATAAAGGTGGTCCAAAATAACACTTTTTCTAAAGGTATGTTCTCTAGGTAAAGAAGCTCTTTTAGAAGTAAATAGTCACTTGAATTTGTTAAAAATGTATATCTTTGAGTTGTAGAACCCCTCCCCACAGCCCCAAAAATGTGATGATTGGTGAAAACTGGCAAAAAAACTTCATTTTCTAGGTTCAAATTAAAAATGCATTGGAATGCAACACTTATTAGTATTTAAGGAACATCTACTGACTTTGTCTGATATAACAATATGAAGATTTTAATTATTAGATGATGGGAAGTATTTTATTTGAAACATTTTAGAATCCTATCCCATAAAAATGTTGAAAAGAGGGTGTGGTCAATTTTACCATTTCGCAGCGTTTAAAGTTAAAAATATATACAAACCAAGGCATTAAAACATCTTCAAATGTTAAGTATATAGGACACTATATTTTATATGTTAATTTTGTATTTAGTACAAGTCCGAAATCTAATGCAACCATACAGTGGAGACTAGGAAGGTTTGCATATACAATCCAGACATTGGAATCCTTTACAACCCATGCAGCAGAATCATTTACAATTCAGAGCGAGGGTTTTGAAAACTAGCTAAAATGTTTATTATTGAAAACTAAAGATGGCTTTCCATTGGTCAACCAAGCAGCAATATGCATTAAGTCTGACAAGGTTTGCCATTGCTCACAGCTGCAAGTGTGACGTGTGAACAGTTGCCGCCAACATTTGGTTCTCAACATTCGTGGTTAGATCGTCAACTTGCCACTAACTCCAGAAACCACTTACTCAACATACAATATACCAAAGATGCCACCTCACATGAGCACACTCACTCACCCAAAGATGCCACCTTACACAAGCACGCTCACTCATCCAAAGATGCCTCCTCACATGAGCACACTCACTCACCCAAAGATGCCACCTTACACAAGCACGCTCACTCATCCAAAGATGCCACCTTACACGAGCACACTCACTCACCCAAAGATGCCTCCCTATACGAGCACACTCACTCACCCAAAGATGCCACCTTACACAAGCACACTCACTCACCCAAAGATGCCACCTTACACAAGCACGCTCACTCATCCAAAGATGCCTCCTCACATGAGCACACTCACTCACCCAAAGATGCCACCTTACACAAGCACGCTCACTCATCCAAAGATGCCTCCTCACATGAGCACACTCACTCACCCAAAGATGCCACCTTACACAAGCACGCTCACTCATCCAAAGATGCCACCTTACACAAGCACGCTCACTCATCCAAAGATGCCTCCTCACATGAGCACACTCACTCACCCAAAGATGCCACCTTACACAAGCACGCTCACTCATCCAAAGATGCTACCTTACACAAGCACACTCACTCACCCAAAGATGCCTCCTCACATGAGCACACTCACTCACCTTACACAAGCACGCTCACTCATCCAAAGATGCCACCTTACACGAGCACACTCACTCACCCAAAGATGCCTCCTTATACGAGCACACTCACTCACCCAAAGATGCCACCTTACATGAGCACACTCACTCACCCAAAGATGCCACCTTACACAAGCACACTCACTCACCCAAAGATGCCACCTTACACAAGCATGCTCACTCATCCAAAGATGCCTCCTCACATGAGCACACTCACTCACCCAAAGATGCCACCTTACACAAGCACGCTCACTCATCCAAAGATGCCACCTTACATGAGCACACTCACTCACCCGAAGATGCCTCCTTATATGAGCACACTCACTCATTCAAAGATGCCACCTTACACGAGCACACTCACTCACACTAGCTAGCTACTTTCCAACACCTGGCTCTGATGCTTCATGGTTTTATAAGGATTCTACGTATATAGTCACATGATGAGAACTAAGAGCCTTTTGCTTGTTTTGAATGACCTAGCTGAACAGCCTGACTGTAACTGCCTGTAAGGAGTCTTGAAAATTTGAAGACATCATCTTTAGTGATTGACATTAATCTTTTTAGCAAGTTTTCAAACACCTGGCTCTGACGCCTCATAACTTAACAAGGACTCTACTATTTGTTCAGATGATGAGAACTACCTGTAAGTGTTTTATATAACAGAAACTTTTGCCATGATTTGCACATTGATGGCCAAAATGACTGACCCAACACATCAGGATACAATTGTGCATGATGACCACCAACACCTGACTAATGAGATGATATGCTTATATGTGTTGACTTTATACCAATGTCCATATTAAGCCAACCTCTCTATTATATGGTTACACTTCATTAGATGTCATTATGATACATGTACTAAATATTAAACTTACATATAGAATTGTACTTGTGCAAGATAACAACCACAGTCTGATTGCTCGGATGAGGAAAATTAATGCTTATAATATTTATATATTATGCCAATGTCTTAGGACTATGCCAACCTCTATTGTAAGATTACATTAGATTTCATTATGATACATGTACTATATCTATATAAAATATACATACAGATTTGTACTCATTCATGATAACCATCAAAGTCTGATTGCTCAGATGAGAAAAACCAAAGGTTGTAATAATTAGGCATTATGCCAATCACTAAACTATGCCAACCTCTCTATTATGATAACATTAAATGTCATTATGATGCATATACACTAGATATAAAACTTACATATTATATAGAACTATACTCATTCATGATAACCATCATAATCTCATTGCTCAGATGAGAAAAACTAATGGTTGTAATAATTAGACATTGTGCCAATGTCTAGACTATGCCAACCTCTCTACGGTATGATAACATTAGACTTCATTATGATACATGTACTAGATATAAAACTTAAATATAAAAAAGTGCAGTCTCCTATATACTAGATTATGGTAATGAATGAATTACAATGAATATGTTTTAAATGCATTGATCTTTTGTTTGATGAATGTTGCTAAATGATAAAATTGGCCACAACCATATTTTAACATTTTATGGGCTAGTGTTCTAAATTATAAATATTTTCGAGTGTCAAATAATTAAAATCTTCATATTGTAATCTCAAGCAAAGTCAGTAGATGTTTTTTTGGGATACTAATTGATGTTGAATCCCAATGCATTACTAATTTGAACCTAGGAATTGAATGTTTTTTTGCCTGTTTTGCCTGTCGCCGGGTTGGCCTAGTGGTTAAGGCATTGGTCTGATAAGCAGGAAGTCTGGCTTCAAGCTGAAAAGTAGAGGTCTTGGGTTCAAACCCAGGTCACAGCACTTCTTGTGATTTGTCTTTGACCTTTGACTGCTGACCTATACCGGCGATTACTAGAGTGCTGCTAACTCGATAAAAGGCTGGCACTGGCTAGAATTGTCTATGGTTCTAGCCAGGATAAAGATACCAGTTCTTCAACTCGACAATGGGAAGAACTGCTCTACCTAAGTGACTAATATGTCA